AATATAAACTGTTTCTAGGAAACCCAAGGATAGGGTTAAGATAATATAATTTATACTTACTTACTTAACGAATTATTATTTTGTCTATTTCTAGAACACTATTAAATAACTAATATTAATAATCTTATTGCTTGAGTAACCTTGTCTAGTATTCGTATTATTCCATTTACACAACTTTAATTTGTTTAAAAAATTCAATTAAAATGCACTCGTGGGCTCTACTTTCATATCTATGTAAATACAAATAGCTAAATTTAGAGATTTTGCAACAACTTATTTCTAGTTAACATGAGTTCTATCAGTATTTGTTTAAAAAAGTAGGGCGACTGATAGATTAATTTGTTTATACAAACATTTTTGCTACTTATTTAAACGCTTCAACTGTAATATATATTTACATCAAGATCAATGTAAATTGGAATATTCATTCAAAAATAAACATGACCCACATTTTAAAAATTAACTTGCAATATTTATAAAAACAAAAAAATTAAAATTAAAAAATTATAAAATCAATTTTATTGATTTACTGCTTCAAAATAAATAAAATACATTTAAGGAAAGTGAAAGTTTAGAATTTTCAGTAGAAAATCAATAAAATAATCTCTCTAAACGCAGCTTAAAAGCCATTAACTGTTGACCTTCCATCCACGAGAATTGTTTATTACTTGTTTGCATTCCAAAATCCGTTTTTTCAATATTTGTGCTTAGTGGCAAAACAGCAAGAAATGATAAACACGATTTTTAGGTATGCCAATTAAGTAGATACTTTAATTAATTTTAATACCTAGTTGAAAACTTGTTTTTCTGTTATTTATAAATTTATTGTTATCAAATTAAAGTCTCGCCAGAAATTTTCGATATAATTAACAATATCTGCGAAAATATGTAAAAAAACCACGAAAGTAGTAGTTCATCATTTATTAACCCAGACAAATTCCGTTTTTTACATAAAAACCACTAATTACTGCTACAACCACTAGCCGTGACCTTTGTTGTTTGCACTTTTTCTATTTACAGTTTGCACAATGTGCGGCCAAGGCTGCGACACAATTTTTATTTCAAATCGGACTTCAGTTTATTGTAGTATTCCAAGTCTTCTTGCCTAATTGAGGGCTTGATGGTCTTGATGGCACACTTAAAGTCGTCCAGAGACACGATTACGTCACTTGGTGTCCCTCTACTTGAGTCATTTGTTCCTAAAAAAAAAAAAATTACCACAATCGAGTTTCAAGTTTAAAAACTGCTTCCACAACTCGTGGCAGATTTATGAATAATCTTTTTAACTTAACCATCTTAACCGCTACATAATAAACAATAAAAACAACACTTTTATCAAATTATTGATACAAAAAGTTTCGTAATATTCGTAATTTTTACAAAAAAGTAGTTTTCGTAATCAGTTGCTAAATAAAAATTATTCCGTAGGTAATTGTTACAAAAGTTCGTTAAAGTATTATATTTCTTTCTTTGTGTTTCATTTTATAAAAAAAATTTGGTGGGACAATTTTTTTAAGTGCGTGTTATCTTACGGATATCTCGAAAACTATTTAAGATAGAAAAAAATCGAAAAAACCGTCTTGTAGGAAATTTTATAATCTTTAATTTTGTATGTAACTATTTTTTTCTTTTTTCGTAATCGAGATATAAGCGAGAAACCATAAAACGGCACCTTCTTGCCTCACTCACCTCAAAGAACCCGAAACTTTTAGTAAGTATGTTTACCTTTTAACCAGTCCAAACACAATCTTAAAGTCAAACTTCAGCTTTTTGATTCGTTTTTGAAAGTTGTAAAAAATTAAAAAAATAATACTGATTCGAAGATGTTTTTTTGTTTTTTTTTTCGATTTTAAAGCAAAATGGGAAAAAAACTTGTAAAACAATTGTTTTTTTATGTTGATGAAGATTATACAATGTTCAGAAAAAAATAAACTTGTTCCTTTAATCCTTTTGTAAAACTTTAACCAATTTATTGGTTCTAGAAAACAATGAAAAAGTTACTTTTTTCTTTAAATGAGTGTTAAAAGTGAAAAAGGATATTTTTATATTAAAAGTCAGATATTTCACTCACAAACTGATGTAAAGAGAATATAAAAAAAGCAAATTAAAGCTGAATAAATAAACTATCCGGCCCATGTATTGATTTAACTAAAAAAAATTCCGTGGGCCAAAACAAAAAAAATATAAAAAAATTCTCGCGTTATTTCACAGGATTGTGTGATAGCCTCAGAAAAATTTTTTGAAAAAAAATTTCACAACTGGAAACTTGAAGCTTCAAAATGTTTTTTTTTAATCTAAATACGACCATTTTTCAAAGAGTTACAGCCTTTCAAAAATCACCAAAAAGTGTAGTAAACCCTTTTGTTTCAAAATTGTTCATATAATAAAAATCTGAAAAAAAAATTCTGAAAAATCAACTTTTTGCTAACATTAAAAAAACGGTCTCCCATGTTTGAATAAAAAACAGTAATGTTTTTTGTTATAAGGAAGAAAAGTGTATCTTTTTCTCCCACAGAGCCCGAGATTTGTCGAAGCAACTAAATTTTTATCTCTGAAAGATTACATATACATATTTTTATTGTAATTTTGACAGATGACGGAGGTAAAATTTTTCCTCCTAAAGAGATAATTTTCCACTTTCCTTCCTGAAATTGGGGTGAGAAAACTTACTTTCTGTTAGGGTCGTAGAAAAAACACTAGTTTAATACACATTTCAGTGCATTTTTATACCAAAAATATGGAAATTTGGTTTACTTACTTTCGAGATAGAAAAAACAAGTTTTTAACCACAATTTCTAAAAAATTCAACAATTTTCTTTCGTTATTTCTGAAACACTATCTCGTAGCTTTAATTTATGGACATTTATATTTCCAGTTAACAAAAACACAATCCTGAAGTCAAACTTCAGTTTTTGATTTGTTTTTAAAAGTTGTAAAAAAATTAACAAACAATACTAATTCAAATAAATTTGTTGATTTTTTTTCGATTTTAACAAATAACTAATGCAAAATGGTAAAAAACTTAAAAAAAAATGTTTTTTTTTTATGTTGATGAAGATTATACAATGTTCAGAAAAAATAAACTTGTTCCTTTAATTCTTTTGTAAAACATTAATCAATTTATTGGTACAAGAAAACAATGAAAAAAGTCACTTTTTTCTCTTTTCTTTAAATCAGTGTTAAAAGGGACATGCAATTATTTAACTAAAAAAATTTCCCAAGTCCGTGGGCCAAAAACAAAAAAATTGTCGTGTTATTTCACAGGATTGCGTAATAACCGTAGCTCAGAAATTTTTTTGACAAAGAATTTCAAAACTAGAAACTTGAGGCTTCAAAATGTTTTTTTAATCTAAATACGACCATTTTTCAAAGAGTTACAACCTTTCAAAAATCACCAAAAAGTGTAGTAAACCCTTTTATTTCAAAATTGTTTATTTGATAGATTTTGAATCAATTAATTCTTACAGTGAAGAGACAAAATAAGTAAAAACAATAAAATAAAAATAAAATTTGGAATTATTAAAAAAAAATCAATATGTAGGGTTTCTCAGAGATCAACTTTTGCTAACATTAAAAAAATGGTATCCCATTTTTGAATAAAAAACAGTAATGTTTTTTTGTCATTTGAATTACAAGGAAGAAAAGTGTATCTTTTTCTCCCACAGAACCCGACATTTGTCGAGGCAACAAAATTTTTCTCTCTGAAAGATTACATAAACATATGTCTATTGTAATTTTGACAGATGAGGGAGGTAAAATTTTTCCTCCTAAAGAGATAATTTTCCACTTTCTTCTCTGAAATTGGAGTGAAAAAACATACTTTCTGTTAGGGTCGTAGAAAAAACACTAGTTACATACTCATTTCAGTGCATTTTTATATCAAAAATATGGAAACTTGGTTTACCTACTTTCGAGATAGAAAAAACAAGTTTT